AACCCAATATTCTACTATTGCTCAATGGCAGCTCTACTCTATTTTTTAGAATGAAGGCTGTCCTGATTCATGAATGGAAAATAAAAGCCATTTAAGATCTATAATTATTTTATTGTAATTTTATCTTTTGATACTAGGGTCCATTCCCTGGAACTCATCTGCCATTTATCACTCTCCTTTCTTTGTATTTTCCAATCACTCTATTAATAGAAACAACTATTTTTCCATTTTCAGGCAGAGCTCTTCTGTATAATATGAATAAGAACAGGAAATATAAAATAGAGAAGGCAAGAAGGGTAAGAGTAATAGGATAAAGAATATGAAGGGAGTAGGGCACTGGTGGCTTCATCTGTAAGCCTAGCTACTCAGGAAGCTAAGATCTGAGGGTCAAAGCCAGCCCAGGCAAGAAAGTCCAAGAGATATTTATCTCCAATTAGTCCCTAGAAAATAGGACGTGAAGGTGTGGCTCAAAGTGGTAGAGCACTAGCCTTGAGTGAAAGAGCTCAGATAGCACCCAGGCCCTTAGTTCAAGCCCCATGACCACCACGACCACGACCACCACCATCACCAACAACAAAAGAAGTGACAGAAAAGAGTAAGGGAATACCAATCAAATGCCAAGTAGCATGAGTGACAGGTTGTTCTGGAAAAGGCCTATGTTGGGGTATAAGTTTATAGAGGACTTAGGGCAAATAGTTCCTCTCTGGACTCCTGGTAGGGTCAAGTATCCTTACTCTGCTTTTAGGCCTCACTCCCAGGGCAATGTCCAGATAAGGCAAAGGGACCACTGGTATCTACACAGTTCTAGCATGTGCAAGAAGTAGAGTCTGACCTAAATTCTGGAAATAAACACTATTCATCTCCTGGTAATTGTTACTAGCAAAATGGCAAAAACCTCTCTCCCACCAAAAAACAACAACAACAAAAAAACAACAAACCAAAACAACAACAACAAAAAACCCCACAACCAAATAACTCAAGACTGATAGCAATTTGATAATCCGTTTTTTTCTCAAGAAGGTCTGTGCCTGCTGCTATTTTGGTAATCCCCCAGTGCTCAGTTCAGTTAAGTATAATGGCCAGCAGACATTTAGTAAACAGTTGGACAGCTGGGAAATCTTAACATGAAGAATTGTTTTGGTTTGGGCAGCAGAAGCATAGAAGGACATTTAATAGATCTTCTGGTGAGAAACCAACCTCTGTATTGTGGAGAAAAGGCTAAAGACACAATAAGACTCCTATAGTTAAGTCTTATATTATTTGTTATTAAAGAGGCAAGGTCTTAAGATGTGCTTTTTAACAGTCTTTAGTTTGGCTGTAATTTAAGATGACTTTTACAAATTAGATCCTAATCCTTGCAGACACAGATGGCTATTACAAAATAGCCTTGCAAAAACAGTAGTTGTTAGACTTGAAAAAAACACTTAGAGAAGGATGAAGTACCATTAACTCTTACCCTACCTTACTCTTAAGGAGACCTAAAGAGTTTTCTGGGCTTTCTGGGTTTAGAACTGGAAAACAGTGGGTGTAGGGAACCTGCTCTGATTTGGAATGGCCTGCCTAGCTCAAGCTCCAAGACCATTTTGGATTACCAAAATAGCAGCAGGCACAGACCTGCTTGAGAAAAATGGATTATCAAATTGCTATCAGTCTTGAGTTATTTGGTTGTGTTTTTTTTTGTGTGGGGGAGTTTTTGCCAGTTTGCTAGTAACAGTTACCAGGAGAAGGAATAGTGTTTATTTCTGGAATTTAGGTCAGGAACTAGAGATTTGAGGGAGGCCTGAAGTTATTAACATAAGACAACAGTTACTAAATACTTACATATGAGGCAACATGGTGGGAACTGCAACAAAGACAAATTTGAACATAATACAGATTATCTTTATAACAAAAGATCAAGTGCTATGAGAGAAGAGTGTACAAACTACAATGGTATATAGGTGAAGCTTGGAAGAAGAGAGCTTTCCAGAGACAGCTTCATAGGCTGACATTTAAGCTAGGCATTAAAAGCTAGGCTCATTTGAACAACAGGCCAGATATAGTGCAAAGGGTGGATGTTCAAGGAGAGCATGCCAAAGTGTAGAGTATGAGATTTTCTATGCCTTTAGTGAATAGTGAGCAATCTCTTAACTCTTGCTGATATAAACAAGTAATAAAAGACAGTATATAAAGTCAGAAAGACAGGAATATGCCATATTGTACAGTTTTAAAAATATCCTAAGGAGAAGTAGGGACTACTGAAGAGGTTTTATGCCAAAGAGAAATGATTGTGTGGCAGATAACTTTACATTGACCAAAGACCATAAAACAGGCAAATGACTGGTAATGGGAAACTCCTGATTGCTCCTATATAAGCAAAATGCTCTGGCTTGATAGTTTCTCTTAGAAATTAGGACAGATGATACTAAGAAGTTTTGGGAAAAAAAATTGAAATAGTATAGAGATAGGGATGAAATCAGGTAAAAGACAGTGGGAAACGGGACTGGGAAATTGCCTTCTTTAACAATGCTAAAACAGGAGTAAATTTTCTTTAAGTAATGGGCTTTCTATTTAGGGACTGTCAAAACTGGCATTAGAGTTTCCACTTAAGAGGCTGAAAACTTGATTAGTAAAGCTTGAGGCAGGCAGGCAGGCAGATACCAGGTCAAAGCACCCTTGCATATTACATTGATTTGTGTTTCCTTTCAGTAGCATTTTTTCATCTACATCTTAATATAAAGATATTATTACAGAGGTTAATACTGAGCAGAAAACTTATCTTCTTTAAAAACAATCCTCCCCTCAAGCTATCAAAAAATAAGGTTCAAATAGTAATTTGGAAGAAAACAAAAGTTTTATTTTATAAAATAAGAGGTCTGTAGACCTATATCTTCTAGTACTTTAATTTTACACATGAGGCCCAAGAAGAGAGTAACTTGAAAGCAAACCTTGGGAAGGAAGAATTTATCCTAAGTTCTTTAAGTTTTCCAAGGAGAGACTCTCATCACAAAATATAAAGTGTAAGAGACAGGCAAATCCTGAACCTTTTGATAGTAGCCTCTTTTTTTATTTACTTAAAAAAAATTAGGGCTGGGAAGTTGGCTCAGTGGTAGAGTGCTTGCTTTGCATGCATGAAGCCCTGGGTTCGATTCCTCAGTACCACATAAGCTGGAAGTGGCACTGTGGCTCAAGTGGTAGAGTATTAGCCTTGAGCTGAAGAGCTCAGGGACAGTGGCCAGGCCCAGAGTTCAGGCCCCACAACAACAACAACAACAAAAATTAAACAATTATACAAAAGAGGTTTCAATTCAACATGTTGGTTTATGTGTACAGTGCATCTTGATCAGTGTCACCCTTTCTACTCCCCTTGACTCTTTTTTAAATATTCACATATTTGGAGTTTAACTTCAGTGGTAGAATTTAAGGACTTTATTTTTATCTGGATGTGTGGTAAGAGCATATGCATATATATTTGTATGCTTTTACTATGAATAAAGACAAAAAGCCTGGAAGTGTTGGTGGGGCTGGTGAGAAAAGGACCAATGGTCACTTATTTGGGGTCTTCCTGGGCTTAAACATAACTGGCAGAATCTTCATCCCACCTACAGGGGATTTGTGGCTGGGTAGTAGAGATAAAAGATACGTTACTAGTTTCTAACTTTATCCTCTAAATTTGCCAACCAATGTGAGAGACTCATAAAGTCCAGATTGCTAGATTTAGATCACAATAGAATCAAGGACTATTAAGATTTACTATTTTAGAGTTGAATAAGACCCAGAAATGAGACTAGGAGGAGCACTAACCTAGTAAGGAACACTGACCATAAGAGCAGCAACCATTATCTCCAAAGATAGGGAAATTAGTATTTCACAATATAAGATACTCCTTTCTTAGGAAGAGCTTTTGTGTATTAGGCCAGTAGTGCTTTCTGTAACCTTCAACTCATTAGTAAGAGTTTTGACCCTGCAGCAGGTTCCTTTTATTACACAGTGAAATTTCATGTATCTGAATATAACACTCATGTCTCTCATGACCTTTCTTTCCTGAAGTATTTGTTCCCCAGATAACCAGAATTGACAGTTCCTTTTCCTTCCTTCCAGCCCTGTCATAAATGTTTCTGTTTCTTCAGGCTTCTTGTTTCAACATGAAGATTACAGACCCTTTCAGGAATAGTTTAAATGCAGAGTTGAATAAGACCATTTATTTATTCTCCTGTTGTACTTATACTTCTAAAACTATGATCTTTTTGCTAGCAGTTATAAGCATTTATTAGTGTATATTTAGCCTAATTCAATGTAACCTCTGCTCATGGAATATATCTTTATATATTCTTGCAAAATTTTGGCCATTTTATTTATAGTTTTAGTTTTATTTGAAAGTTTCTTGAATCTGACTTTTCATAATTCATAAATGTGATATTTGTTTCATTTGGCAAAAAGGGTTAAATATACCATCTCTTGATTCCCTGCAGGGCCATGATAGTTGACATTTTCTGGACACACCACCTAATCAACAATGGATCTACCTAACTGTAGATCAACATCTATTTCTCTACTCTTTTGCAAAAGTAGGGGCTGAAATATACACAGTGAACATGTGTCACCTCAACTTCCCAGGGTAGAAAAACTATCAAATCACAAAATACTCTTTGTTTAGCGTAACTCATTCTTAGTGAACCTATAATCATTGATCTTGATCTTAATCTGTTAAGTACACAATTCTCTGGTATGCTCTTAGGTATGTAAAGATGAGACCTCAGGAAAGCTTATATAAAAGCTAGGATAGGGGTAACAGTGAGATAACGAAGACAGAAGAAAGATCCAGTTCCTAATTTCTTACATATGCTTCTGGACATATCTTCTGGCCTGGAAAGTCATACCTTCACTGAAAGCTAAGAAGAGAATGGTGTGCAGAACAAGGAAGGATTTTTGGATGTCTTGTATCATTTGACATTTCTTAGATTACTTTTCCCAGTCCTAATGATCTGGACTCACTTCCTGAGGTAGATATGGTAACTTACATCTCTCCGAGGAAAGGTGCTCAGTAACTTGAACTCATCCCATGGAAATCCTTTGGAAGCCACAAAATCAAAAACAATCTGGAGCTTATTGCTGGCTAGGAAACGCCGCTCTAGGAACTCGCCACTGGGGGTCCGGATCCGTAGTTTGCTCACAGGCTCAGCATTTTCTTCCTTTGGCTCTGGAGGCAGAGCTTGCTCTAAGGAGAGTCGAATGGCCTAAGTAGATAATAAAAACAGGTGTTAAAATGTAGGACAGATGGGACTGTGGGGATAGAGAGAGACTAGAAAAAAGCTACCAGACACTCACTGAAAAACCACTGCTACACTTATTAAGCAAATCTAATGCTTGAACAATAGAAATCATATTTTTTTCATTTTATTACTATAAGCTCAATAGAAAATTAATTAAAATAAATCCCACCTTGAGGCCACATTATTAAATCAGTAGATAACTACATTGAAAATAAACGTTTCTTTTTTTAAAAAAACCAACCAAGTAAAGGGCGTAGATATTTGTGATTGAGAAAGTATATATCAAGTATCCTACTGCTTTCTTTACAGGGTGTGTGAATTAAGATTATTAAAGCATTCCCAAAACTTATTCATACATTTATATTTGAGAAAAAATATTTACCAAGTAGAAATTTTATAGAATGGGAAGACTGTTTAGTGATGAATCACTTAAAAATGTAAATCTCTAATATATATGTATAAATATATATTCTGTTATAATAAAACATTTATTTTTATTTTTTTGGTCAGTCCTGGGGCTTGAACTCAGGGCCTGGGTGCTGTCCCTGAGACACTTTGTACTTAAGGCTAGCACTCTACCACTTGAGCCACAGAACCACTTCCAGCTTTTTCTGAGTAGTTTATTGGACATAAGATTCTCACAGACTTTTCTACCTGGGCTGGCTTTGAACCACAATCCTCACATCTCAGCCTCCTGAGTAGCTAGGATTATAGGCATGACCCACCAGTGCTAGTCTTAATTTTTATTTACTTATTTATCTTTTGTTGGTCATGAGGCTTGAACACTGGGCCTGGGTGCTACCCCTGAGTTCTTCAACTCAAGTCTAGCCTCTACCACTTGAGCCACAGGGCCACTTCCAGTTTTCAGGTGATAAATTGGAGATAAAGGTCTCACAGACTTTCCTGCCCAGGCTGGCTTCCTGCCCAGGGAAGCTACTCAGCTTTCCGAGTAGCTAGGTTTATATATAGGCATCCAGCTTAATTTTATTTATTTATTTTTTTTGGTTGATCATGGGGCTTGAACTCTGGGCCTGGGCGCTGTCCCTCAGCTCTTCAGCTTAAGGCTAGCACCCTACCACTTGAGCCAACAGTGACACTTCTGGCTTTTTCTGCTTATGTGGTGCTAAGGAATCGAACTCAGGGCCTCATGCATGAGAGGCCAGCACTCTACCACTAAGCCAGCTTCCCAGCCCCTAATTTTAATTTTTGAAACAGGTATTATGTAGTCCTGGCTAGCCTTGAATTTGTGATTTTCTTGCTGCAGCATCCCAAATGCTAGGATTATAGACATTTATTACCATGCCTAGCAAAATAAGTATTTTTAAAAAATTGCCAGGAACACTGTGGCTCATGTCTGTAATCCTAACAATTCAGGAGGCTGAGATCTGAGGATCATGGTTTGAAATCAGCCCAGGCAGGAAAGTCTTTGAGATTCCTAACTCCAATTAACCACTTAAAAAACAAAAGCCAAAGTTAAGCTGTGGCTCAAGTGGTAGAGTACTAGCCTTCAGGAAAAAAAAAAAAAAAGCAAAAAAGCTCAAGAACAGCACCTAGGCTCTGAGTTTAAGCCCCAGGAGTGATGTGTATAAGAGTGAGCGCATATGCCCCCCCCCCACCCCACCACACAAAGGGAATTAAAAGAAACTCAAGTGATTTCTTGGACACAAGATACCATAGTCTCAGTTACAGCTCTATCATTAACTTGCTATAAGTGATTGGCTTTGTTACAGAATGACAGATTTCTGGACCTATAGACAAACTAAACTGTACATTCTGTACATGAAAAAGAAGACTCAAACAGTTGGGATAAACTGTTGAGAGGACTCATAGTTACAGCTAGGTTTGAACCTAGATTTCCTATTATATTATTTCACATTGATGGCATTCCATTGGAAGTTAGGTTTCTGAGGTATTTGCCCACACTGAAATTTTTGGCAGGTATTCATAAAAATTCATTTTGGTCCTAGCAACTTGAGAAATTCCTTGGATAAGCAATTCTGTAGTATTAGAATGTTTTACTTCACACATTCTGTTCCTATTTTATCATTTCCACATTCCTAATTTATAATTAATAGAAAAACAAATGCTCCTTCACTATTAATCTATAATTATCACAATCAAATAACGTGAATGAGAGAACTTGGAACCTAAGTTCTTTACAGTCTTAACAAAAAGTCTAAAGTTGGTGTGATTAACCATTTAATCAGAAACACCTTTCTCTTGAATATCTCAAGCCAAAAGGAAGTATGGGTGTGATGGAGGCATGGCTCAGCAATAGAGCATCTTCTTAGCAAGCACAAAGCCTTAAATTCAAACCCCAGTACAAAACCAAAAAGAAAAAAAGACACATAAACTTTCCCAGTGTCTGACATAAGATGAATTTTAAGCATTTCCTAATATTAAACTATTCAGTAAAATTGTAATGTATGTATATATATGAACAAATGAGTATATAAAATTAAGCCAAGATGCAGTATGTCTATTATAGTATTCACTACACCATACCATATTATTTCTCTAAAATCTGGCTTAATCACTGGTCTATTAATTCTATTAGGGCATGGAACCATGTCTTATTTCTTACTCCAAGTAGAGAGCATAACACAAAGAAGATACATAAACACATTAATAGCAATAAGGTAAGTATGAGGTAATGGTTAGTTTGGTAACAAGTGCTGTTCAGTAAGTGCTTCAAGAATGTGAATATCAAAGTGGGCGCCGATGGCTCACACCTATAATCCTACTCAGGAGGCTGAGTTCAAAACTATCCAGGGCAGGAAAGTCCATCAGACTTTTATCTCCAATAAACCACCAGAAAACCAGAAGTGGCATTGTGGCTCAAGTGGTTGAGCACTGGTCTTGAGCTAAAGAGCTGAGGGACAGCGCCCAGGCCCCATAGTTCAGCCCCATTACCGACCAAAAAAAAAAGAATTGAATATCATGGAATTTAACTTCTAGAACTAAGGAGTGAATATCATGACTCTTTTCTCCAAGGTTTAACTCCTTCTAGCATTAACAATTCAGTCTGACATGTCCCCTACAACCATGAGTTGCTTGTAGGGGTAAATCTCTGTGGATTAGATTTACATACATTTTCTAAATTATTAATGTGATCATCTATTTTTCAGTAACACTAGTGGCTCTCTCAAATCATCTTTGAGATTAAAAGAACATTTTCCCTGATTATAAAAATACATTCACAAAATAGATTCAGTAAGGAAAACATTAACTTAAGATAATCATTGCTATCATTTGTTTATATTCAGTAATTTAAGAAATCATTTTAACCATTTTAACTGTACAATTCAGAAGCATTAAGTACAATCATAATGTTGTATAATCATTACTATTTTCCAAAATTTTTATCACCCAAATATTTTTATAAAAGTATACATTTTAAACTTAAAAGTTTGAATCAGTATATTTTATCTTTTTTTGTTCAGTCATGTATTTTATAATTGTTTTAAAGGTTTCATTAAAGTGTAATATATTTTAATAAAATATCTTAAATGTTAATATACTTTTTCAGGAATGCAACATTTGTGTAAAATTAATGCTCTTTACCTAGGAGTTACTTCTCAAACTCAATCACTAAACTGACTTTTAACAATGAAGTTTAAAAAATGGTAATTAAGCTGGGCGCCAGTGGCTCACACCTGTAACCCTAGCTACTCAGGAAGCTGAGATCTGAGGATTTCCTTTTGAAGCCAGCCTGAGTAAGAAAGTCTGTGAAATCTTTTTTTTTTTTAAATTGGTCATGGGGCCCAAACTCTGGTCCTGGGCACTGTCCCTCAGTTCTTCAGCTCAAGTCTAATGCTCTACTACTTGAGCCACAGTACCATTTCTGGCTTTTTCTGCTTAAGTGGTGCTGAAGAATCGAACCCAGGGCCTCATGCATGCAAGACAAGCACTCTACCACTGAGCACTTTCCCAGCCGGTCTGTGAGATCTTATCCTCAATTTATCACCAAAATGCCAGAAGTGGAACTGTGCCTCAAGTGTTAGAGCAGTAGCTATGAGCAGAAAGGCTCAGGGACAATGATCAGGCCTTGAGTTCAAGTCCCAGGACTGGTACATACCCACAAAAAAGTAATTAAATGGTTAGGATCACATGCTTTCCTGTATGACAGATTCAAATACTGTCCATTAGGTAAATAACAACCTTTATGACCTTTAGTTTCTTTATTCAAGAAACAGGGCCAATAAAAACACTAAGTTTAGCATTCAATCGATGTCAAGTGCCTAGCACTGATCATCATGCTATATATATGTTAACATTGTAAAGACAGGACAGTGGCTGGTGCTGCTGTCATTATCATAAAGATTATTTCTTTGTACCTACTTTAATTAGAACTCAACTTGGTATTTCCTGGTTTCCCTTTCTGCTCCCCCTTTTAATCCACCTGTCTGCTTGCATTCTACATTGGCATTTCCCTGCACAGTATAACAACAGATGCTACATTATTGTCTGAAGTCAATTGATTATAGTACAGAAAAATAAACAACAGTAGCTCATTACTCCATTCATTGTGCAGACAAGATCTGGCCCTCAATGTACACAGACTCCAGGGCTTTTCTGTAGAATGAAAACAGATCTTAGCTATCCCACACTAACAGACCAATGTGCAAAACAATGAAGAGAGATTAGATAGGTCAGCAACTTTGGTATCTGAATAAGCAACAGTTTTACTGGCAAAAAGAAATGCCAGTAAAACCTGTTTCAAATATACTAGCTAAAAGCAAAACTACCACGTAAGCAAACACAGTTGTAAAACAGTAATAAAAAGGACACAAATACCAAAATAACAGTCATAGTAAACACCATTGTTCAATTTCAATTTGGTTTGCTCAAGAAATAAGTTTTTTATTTGCATATTTTAGGTTTGTGATAAAACAAGGAAACCTGGTAAAAGAAATATGAACTGAGCTGGGCACGGTGATGCATGCCTATAATCCCAGATAACT